TGTAGATTGGCCTTGGGACTGAAGGGCGATCCTCCTGGGTCACTGGTGCCCTGCCCTCATCTACTTATACACTTTTCAACAGAATCTATTTAACATTGGTAGAAAAGTCATTTTATGCGTTTTATGGTATAAAAGGTGTGTGTTTACGATGGAAAAGGCAAGGATTGAGGGCAGGGAAATGTCTGAGCTGGTACAACAGTTCATAGAAACAAAATAAGGTCTCAATGAGATAAGACTAAATTTGGCCTTCAGACACTACAAGAAAAACAAGATATTAAGAAACAAATACAAAATTTCACAAAGAACTGGCTGGGTGATTCTTCAAGAAGGAAAATGATAAATGTGGAGTGGTCAGGTGGGGAAGAAGAAGAGATGAACTTCAAGAGGGATTATCCGATCACCTTCCAGAATTGGTTTGATGTCCAGCCAGGAGGCACCTTGAGATCTCCAGAATCCAATCTGGATCCCTTTCCCCCTTCTGAGCTTGCTTTGGTAGATCTTCATTGGTATGGGGGGGGGGAGGGGTAACGAGTTGTTGTTTTATCTTTAGTTTGTTTGTTAAAATCTGTTAGTCTGGGGGGTCAAATTGCCAGCAAACACTTGATGTCAGAATAGGCATGATGGGATGAATGGGTATCCGGGGATTTACAGGAGGTTGCACCGCTAGCATTAGCATAGTCATCTGGCGGGCAGATTTTGGCTGAAGAGGCAACTCTCCTTCTGTCACACCTCTCCTTGAACCATGGTTCAGTAACATTTGTATGAGGGACGCTGGACCAGGTTTCCAACAACATATATATGAGGGACCTTGGACCCAGTTTCCAGCAAGTGCAGCTCCCCACCAATAGAATGGAGTCGGTGGCCGGACTGCTCGTGGTGAATGCTCTTATCATCATCACTAGCAACTCGGGCCGGGTTTTATTAAAAAAAAAAAAAAGATTCACTGTCGTTTTACACATGGTGATTCGAACTTTGGAACTGCCTATTATGACTTTTTACAAAAATATATATTATTCTCTCATCTATTTAATCTTTCCCGGTAGTACGCATCTATCTCATCCTCTACTCAGTAGAGGATGAGATATGATAATTTTTGGAATTTCTAAGCTGCGCTATTCTGGACTTTGCATCTCAGGGGCAATGTCCCACTTCTCGAGGTTTTGTTCTGGTTTCGAGTGTACATGGCTCCTTGCCATCCGATCTGAAAATCTCACGGCCCTAGTGTGAGCACGTTGGAAATATACGAAACACAAACTAAGCCCCCGCTCGTGGGTCACGGCCCCTGGTCTCCAGTGTGGACGTAGTGTGATCTCGCAATGATGTGTGTATGTGTGTGCTCAAGGTGACGAGCAGTGAGGCTCAATGCAAAGTGCGATTTCGAGAGAGAAGAAAATGAGTATTCCTTTGAAAGCCTGCATCTGGACTTGTTCGTGGAAACGTGCATAATCATGGCAGTGTTGTGACGCCCCAACCTCATGCGCAACGCAATTTCCTGATCGAAGTGGGATGGGGGCCCGAAAGTGCGAAAAGGGGGTGTGCCAAGGATTTTAGGATACTGGGGATGGAGTTCCAGGTCAGAACTGAAATCTCCTGTGGCAGGTCTCAGGGATAGTTGCGCAAGATAGCAAGTGTCTGTCGTGTCTGGCTTTTATGCCTTGGGGGATGTCATCGCCATCCCCTCGAGTTTCGTTGTCGGGGCCAGGCTCGGATTTGGTGAACCGGCGGAACGCTATGGGTGTCACGTTGCCTAATTAACCGCTGGCGTCGCTCGCGACGAGCCTCGGAGTCGGACGAAGCGGGCCTCAGGCGTAGGTTGTGTGCTCGCTGCTCGGACTCAGTCCAGGTTCGTCAAACGAACCCCGCGGCTCGGTACTCGTTGTCCTGCTGGCACTGAGAGAACGGGGTTCGTAGGGGGCGAGTGCGTGCCACGGAGCCGCCGTCAGGCAATGAAAGGGTAACACGAGACAATAGGGAGGGAAGTCGGTCTCAATGATGACAATACCGGGTTCGGCGATGACGTGGCTCGCGTGTGAGCTGGGGAATTGGGAGGGAAATGGGATCACACTTAAGGCCCGTTCAATGTCTCACTCACATACATTCCCGTTTCTAGTCTGAAAGGGGAATTTTGGAGGGTTGGGTCTGGGTCGTGCGAGAAGACAGGCGTTTTTCCACTCCCAGTATTCTCGAAACCATCGATGTCTCAGGCTTTCCCGATCCGTGACGTGGAAGGGAGTCCCATCATCCATGTTGTCGAAAATTTGCGAGTTTAGACATGGATTCGAGCGTGGGTCTCACAAATACACGTGCAGTAGGCGACGCCCTTTCCGGTCGAGCCTACACGTATGTGCACGAGGCCACGTTCGCAATCGGTTGGATCGGATCGACTGGCTATCCTTTGGGTGATCATCTAACCAGTCGACATGCCAGCCCCACGCATGACACTTACGTTCTCGAGTGCGCGTGTCAGGAAACAGACATCAAGAGGGTAATCAGAGGGAAATCACACAATTGAATCAGCATACATCTGCCAGGACCGCCGAGTTTTCGTTCGACTTTCCTTTCAATCCAAAAAGAAGGAACGAGGAATTGACATGCATACGTGCAATCCAACAGAGATAATGTCAATAATCGGGTGATTGGTCCGTCCGATAACTTAGTTTTGAAGACGCATTTCCCCAATACTCATGCATTAATCGAACTCGAGGGTCGTGCAAATTTCCAAAAAAGCATAAACGAGAGATCAACAAAGGTTGATGCATCAAGCCGAAAAAGATCACATCATCACAACCCAAGCTCACTGAGGTCATGCGCCGACAATCGTTGTACCCGATCTCAACATATTGCTGTAAAACAAGAATGAGGAGAGAAAATCAAGCCGATCACTGAACAAAACACGAACCAGAGATAACCATAAGCAAAAGAGGGCCGACGCCACTTAAAAAAGTGACAAAATTTGAATTAAGCTAGCATCCAAAGATTGCGGGAGGAGGGGTGAGAGAAGCGCGCGAGTTCATTCCACACACACATCATAAACAAAAAATATGAGATGATTCGCAAGGAGATCCGAAATGGCCGCAACAAAATCGGCCAAGGCTGAAATCAAAATTTATACAGATGATTAGAGAAAGGCATCGTCCCACACACATCTCTCTCCCTTTCTCACTACGCCACATCACCTCCGATGCGGCCAGTCCATCGCCTCGCACCAACACCGGATCGTCACCCCGCTTAGTCCGAGCACGCAAGTCAAGTTCGCCCGTGCGCCATAGTCCGTCGTGGCCCACACGTCAACCCCGCCTACCCGGCACCAGCTCGTCGGGTCGCCCGACTCACTTATGCTCACCTTCTGACTTACTCGTTAGCCGATCCTCACTGACCGCGCTAACTTCGAAATTCATAGAGAGGAAACTAATCGCGCTTGCACAAATTTATAGCGTGCATGCTTGCGCAATGAACCCGGGATTATGCCTAAGTGAGAGGAAGGGGAAGAGAAGGAAGTGCCTACGCCTGCATGTCCAAGCCGCGACATGGGGGACGCAGCCACACTCCACGCATCGATCCGGTCATGCAGTCACTCAGGCCAATTAGAGTGGAGGACGAGGCATGTACGACAGAGAGGGAGGAGGCGGGGAAACATGAGAGAATCAAGAAGGAGTACAATTACAATTGCGCCCACCAAAAAATACAGTTACACGCAGGATTAAGGGCGCGATATGGTCAGAGCCAAGTCCCCACTGCGGTGAGAGGTGCGCAAGCAAGAAGCGCGGCACAACAAGATTTCATAGTACCTAAATTCCTAGTCTAAATCGTATTTGCAAAAATAAATTCCGAAAAGACAGAAAAACAATTCTGAGAGCCCGTGGGGGCTCGACATCAGTTCAAAATTTGAAAAACGATATTCCCGCGCGCCGATCACGCCAAAATTCCCGTCTCCCACAGCAGAACAAGAAAGAAGCTATGGCAACCGTTATTTATCGCTCTTGCTAAGGCGTGGTTACCCAATCGTCTGCGCAGGACTTTCCCGGCCCCGGTCCCGAAAGCCAAAAAGAAAGAAGCGAGGGTATCCATGCAACTTGCCCAGCCGACCCATATCTCTGCACTCCACCCGACCAACCAGTCCCCAACCCCCGAAGCCGCTTCGTGTAGAAAGTCGCGCGATTACAGAAAACAGTTCGTCACAGTGTATCTTTCCATGGTCTGGCAGCAGATTCATAGATTAGATTCACTATCGTTTAGCACATTTCGAGAGTAGTGGAGCCAGGCCGAATAAATGCACTTTCCTGCCTTCCACTGTCACACAGACTAGTAAACTATACTATTCTATGGGCCTTGTTCCACTACCCTCGACTTGGAAAAATCTCAAGGGCGGCGCCGTTCCACTAGGCCCTTGAGATTTGCTAATCACTATCGTAAAGTGATTAGCATTCCCGCCTGGTTAAACTCCCGCTCCGAAACTGAAGGGAGGTCGTAGGGTCTGCAGGCAAATTTCAAGTCACCTCCCACGGCCGACTGGTTTTTCCTCGATGTTCCTTGAAAACGGCGCCAACATGTGCCGCCAGGTGGTCAGAAGTTCCATGCAGTACCCCCGTCATTTGTCACCTCCCACGGCCGAACCGGGCCGCACCCGCTCCTTGTGCGAGCGGGAACTGCAGGGTGTAGTCGAACGAAGAAGGCCTCTAGTATTTTTTAATTACGTTTTGGCTCAAGGGCGCCTGTAGGGCTGCCCTTGAGATATTTTCCAAGTGGAGGGTAGTGGAACGAGGCCCTATGGCATGTGGGGCGAGGTCCCGGAACTCTTGGGCGGGCTGGAGAACGGGGGAAGCATTGATTAGTGCAGCTCTCTGCAGGACCAGCCTACCCTCGAGTTTCAAGTGGTGTGGAACGAGGCCCTTATGGTCCGTGCAAGTAGGAGGTCGCCCTTGGCCAGTTCCACTTCCCGCATCGGTTTCTTCCACGGGTAGAGACAGAGGAGTGCGTGGTTCAGACGTGAAGCTCGCGGTCCCCTAGTGGACCAGCAGCCGGCTAGCCGCTCTGCTAATGATCCAGGCAAAGCTACACGATGGAGGCAGCCGTGGTGGCAACGGCAGCCGCAGCCTCGCTGTCAGCGGCGGGCTACTATTCCTTGGGCGCTCTGTCGGATGGCCGTTTTTGGTTCCCGCCTCCGAAGTCAGCAATCTGCCGCGAAAGCGCCGCGGCCGCCGATCTCGAGATTCCCGCCCAATCTTCTTTTGGGGCATATTCGGTGGAGCGGCGGCAGCGGGAAAGCGTGCGAATGCAGTGCGCGCGCGGAGACCTCTCCTCCGTCAGCGGTGTCATCACCGCGCCAATCTCGTTTGACCTGCTGCGGCAGTCAACGGCGGGGAGCTATTCMCCGTCTCCCGCCATTTTTCGACCGTTTTCGACCATCGAGCGTCGACGTCGAAGATTTTCTTTTTCGCCTTCTCCCGCCATTTTTTCAATTTCTCTCGCCATTTCCCCACCGCCGCCTCCCAGCGTCGAACGACGACGTCGCAGCTTTTCTAGCTCTCCCGCCGTTTTTCAATTTCAACCCTCTGCTCCCGCCGTCGAATGTCGGAGGCGAAGCCGAAGCGGCAAAGCCCGGCCGAGCTACGGACATGATAAAAGGCGGCGTAGTGTCTGCTGGGCCGGCAATCTCGCCGCTCCTGTTCTACAGGACAGAAGACGGCGAGAGGGCAACCAGCATTCTATTATTAGTAATAGTAATGTTACTACGGGTAGTAGTAGAGGGAGTGCAGGCAACAGACGAGGGAGTAGTAGTAGGAGGACGTGGGATCTCGAGGGCGGCGACGTCATCGCTGCTCCTCCGCATTATTGTCGTGGCTGGAGGAATCACGAAGGGTGCATCGTCTCCTCTGACCAGCCATTGATCCTCGAGATCGGGGTCCGGAGCAACCGTACGTCCCACTCGTTGATTGGTTGTACGTCCCGGCCGTTGATTGGTTGTACGTCCCAGCCGTTGATTGGTAGTACGTCCCAGGCGTTGATTGGTATTACGTCCGAGCCGTTGATTGGTAGAAAAAGAGGGGGAAGAAAGGGGGAAAGGACAGGAAGAAGACTACTCGGCGAGTGTCAGTGTGTTGCCAACCAGGCAATCAGGACAGATTTGGGAGGAGAAGCAGAAGGAGGCGGAGGAGGAGGAGGAGGAGGAGGAGGAGAAAGAGGAGGAGGAGAAAGAGGTGGAGGAGGAGGAGGAGGAGGAGGAGGAGGAGAAAGAGGGGGTAATACCTCAACAACACCAGACGAAATGGAGGGCATTACGGTAGGATTTGTAGGAGCGGGGCAAATGGCTGAGGCTCTGGCACGGGGCTTCAATCGGTCAGGGCTCGTTAAATTCGAGAAGATGGTCCTGTCCGACGTGGCAAAAGTGCGTCTCGACCTGTTCAACTCGCTCGGAGCTACGACCTTCGCTGACGGCGGCGATGTTGCCGATCGCTCAGATGTGCTGTTTGTGGCGGTTAAGCCTCATGTCGTTAAGTCTGTCTTGACCCACTTGAGAGATAGCAATAATGCCAAGAAGAAGGAGCTACCCCTGGTTGTATCTATTGCAGCAGGAGTGACCATTTCCGATCTGGAGGAGTGGGTGGGTGAGGGTGCGCGGGTAATTCGTGTGATGCCTAACACTCCCTGCCTTGTCGGCGAGACGGCGGCAGCAATGAGCTTGGGAAAGCACGCGACGAAAGAGGATGCGGATTGCGTGAGGAGGTTGTTTGAGTCGGTCGGCAAGATTTATACCGTGGAGGAGAGGTTGCTCGATGCGGTGACAGGTCTGAGTGGCAGTGGTCCCGCCTACGTTTTTGTGATGATTGAGGCGCTGGCCGACGGAGGGGTTATGGCGGGCCTGCCTCGGGACATTGCCCTGTCCCTAGCAGCTCAGACGGTACTGGGAGCGGCGAAAATGGTGCTGGAAACGGGGAGGCACCCTGGGCAGCTGAAGGATTCTGTTTGCTCGCCAGGGGGGACCACCATTGCCGCTTTGCGAGAGATGGAGAAGGGAGCGTTTCGAGGGACTGTCATGGAAGCAGTGCTGGCGTCCGCTAGGAGATCCAAAGAGATGTCTGAGTCGAAATGACTTCTTACTTTGTTGAGTCGCCGGTGCGCTGCAGGTGTGTTAGGTCCTGATCCGGCTTGTGAGCTTTAATAGACTTTTTGTTTGTCAAAAGAGCGAGTTGAAGAGTTCTTTTCCAACAAGTAGTATATAGTATAGTGAATGGAATTTGTCGATTTCCTTTCGGAAACTGTAAAAAAAATAAATAATAATAATAATAAAAAAAATTGTTCCGAGTCTATGGCCTTCACAACAATCGGGGAGTTTTCACAACAATTTTAAATTTATCGGTTTCCTGTCGCAAAACCCTTCTCTTGTCTTTATTATCTTTTTTTTTTTTTTTTTTTTTTAAACCTCTCTCGGAAACCCTCCTCGTCTTTGTTATCTATGTATTTATTCTTTAATTTCTTTTTATGTTAAAAATTTAGACATTCCTCCCTTCTTCTTCTTCTTCTATTTATTCTTTTTAGTTCAAAATTTTAAACCTCTCTCGGAAACCACCCTCGTCTTTGTTATTTATTTATTTATTTATTTATTTATTTTTATTTTAAAAGTTTCTGACTTTCCTCCCTTCTTCTTCTTCTTCTTCTTCTTCCTCTGCTGCTGCTGAGTTTTTTTTTCCCTTCTTCTTCTTAGCTTCATTCCCTGTTAGCATCCAAGTAGAATTATTTATGCTACTGGGCCAGGTCGCCTCGAAGGATTTCCCTGATTTTTTTTTTTTTTTTTTTTTGATGTGGGTAATACGGAGCTGCGTTTCCATCTTTATCGCTTCAGCTTGTACGATTAGGCAAAGTTCTGTGAAGTGTGTTCGTCTTTTTTTTTTTTTTTTTTTAATTCATAATCCATTCATTAGCAAAATAGTGGCATTGAGCAGAGACTGCTGATGTTCATAGGGGGAGGGGACCGGAGGGGAGGCACAGTGACTGGCCCATCGAAGAAGCTCTGTCCTGATGCTACCGGCTTACCCCTGGCCGGTATCGCCCACCTGCTGTAGCAGGTATCACACCTGCTGGTGGTTGCGGCTCCCGCATGTTCCCTCGTTGGAGGCTTGAGCACGGGTGTGGCTGCTACGGGGTTCCCCGTAATAC